CCATTTAAAAAAAAAAAAAAAAAAAACCAGAGGAAGAAACCAAATTTCAGAAAGGTTAAATGGCTTGCTAAAGGTCATGGAAGAATTAGGTCATGGGGAAAGGTGGCCTTAAAACCCAAGCAGTCTAGCCCCTGCATGAACCCTTCACAGCTGTCCCAGTGAGCTTCAGCTGTCACTTTGACATATCCGGGAAGAAGGAACCTCCTCTCCATCAGATTGGCCTGTGGCATGTCTTCGGTGTATCTCCATGATCGCTAATTGAAACAGGAGGACCCAGCCCACTGTGAGAGGTGCCACTCCTGGGCAGGTGGTCCTGAGTTAGATGAGAAAGTTAGCTGGGTACAAGCTGGAGGAAGCCAGCCAGTGACCAGTGTTCCTCCATGTTTCTGCTTTGGTTCCCACCTGGGGCTCCTTCCCTCGCTGATGGACTGCAAATAAACCCTTTCCTCTCCAAATTGGTTTTGGTCAGAATGGCTTATCCCAGCAACAGAAGGCAAACCAGGACAGGCACTCTGGAGAACTGCCTCCCTCTCAAAGGCTGATGACGTTCAGACATAGCCGCTCTATTATAAATGCATCTGTGCCAGGCGTGGTGGTACACACCTTTAATCCCCACACTCGAGAGAGGCAGAGGCAGGTGGGCGGACCTCTGAGTTGGAGGCCAGCCTGGTCTACAGAGCGAGTTCCAGGACAGCCAGGGCTACACAGAGAAACCCTGTCTCTAAAAACCAATAAATAGATCATAAATAAATAAATGCACTTGTGACAAGATAAATCAAGGAAGTGGCCCAAGCCAAAGATGTCTGCCAGCCTAGCACAGCTGGTCAAAGAGAGAGCCGAGCTCAGTTTGTACATGATTGAAGCAATAAGTGAGGAAACCCAGAGAGCAAAGGGGCCAGCAGCTGTCACTTACAGGCTGCCCTCAACGCCTTCTCCCTAGCTTTGGTCCCCTAAGCCAAAGCCACCACATTTAGCCCTCATCCAACCTCTGTCTCAAACATGAATCCCAATATGTAGAGTTGACACAATTATCCTTACAAGTCTTGTTTTAAGAAATATGGGGCCAGGAGATGACTTAGCCAGTACGGGGCTTGTTGCGCAACCCTGAGGACCCATGCACAAGTCAGGTTCTGCCTCAGGGGTCTGTAACCCCAGCACTAGGAGGCAGAACACGTGGATCCCAGCGACCGGGCTAGCTAACCAGACCAGTGGAAACAAACTTTCAGTTTAGTGAGGAGACTTTGTTTCAAAAGATAAAGTAGGGTCAAGGGAGATGGCTCAGCTGCGAGAGGTGCCTGCTGCCGAACCTGACTGTAAGTGTGATCCCTGGAACTTACAGGGTGGAAGAAGAGCACAGCTCCTGCAGTTTGTCCTCTGACCTCCATACATACATCCATAAACACATGCGCACACACACACACACACACACACACACACACACACACACACACACACACACAATCTGGAGCCCTTCTTCTGTTCACAATTCCTACTCTACTCCAGCTATATTTCTCAAAGCAAGCAACTCAAAAGACAGACTACTAAAAATGCAGAACTCAAGCCACGGAATCAGGAGCTGGGGGAGGGGGCAAGGCAGAGAATCTACCTTCCTGGTACCTCTCCCTAGTGACTCCTGTGCGCACCTGAGTCAGTAGCATTTCATCCAGTTCGTCAAAAACTTAGCTCAGATCTGCCCTTCCCTTTGCCTCGAGCCGTGTCGACAGCAGCCCCCTTTGTCATCATAACCTGGAGTGTCTGTCCTCTTCGCTGTCTGGAGGAGAGTTCCCTGCGCCTGGGCTTTTCACATTCTAAGATTCATCCCAGTCTTCTAAACCTTCCTCTGCTCTGGAGTTTCAGTGTTCAGCCCCACATCCCTAATGATGTCAAAAGGCACTGGGATGAGCTTCCTTTCTTTATATTTCACATCCATATTTATCTGAATGTCAACAAAGAAAACTGAACAAACTGCAACCATCAAATCCAAACCTGGGATTCTATAAGGCGAAGTGGGGCTTGGGAAAAGATTAGCACAAGGAAAAGAATCAGTTTGAGGTTTTTATTGTTTGAGGCTTGTTTTTTTTTAATATTAAATTATAGTTCAGGTGGTAGTCAAATGAAAAGACTTGAACTGGGCAAATTTTGCTCTGCCTTGTCCTCAGCTCAGCTGCACTTACGCATTCCACAGCCCTAAACATCGGCACTCTCCATGCCTTTCTGCCAGTGGTGCCCAAGCTTGGCACACTGTGTCCTCTGCAGGTATGTCTTTGAACATGACCTACACTTTTACACTCAATGTGCATGCTGCCTCCTTCCAGGAGCCTTCCTGGATTCTCCCAACCCTCCTAGCACACCCTGGTTTTGAACTTCCAACCTACTTAAGTACCACTCATTTGGAACCAAATGACCACTTAAGTGTCTCTATGCCGCGGTTTAGTGTCCTTTCCCTAGAGAAATGCAAGCCCCTTGAGTGTAACCTGTGGCCTCTTCTTTATCCCTGGGTTACTTAAAATGGTTAAGAGTAGCTAGCAGGATTTGATCACATAAGAGGAACTCAGTGGACAGGTGAGTACAGAGCCAGCTGAGATAGTCCACAGTAAAGAGAGGAGCAGCCGCTTTGTGCTCTCCAGATGTTCTGCACATCCGATTACTTCAGGCCGGGTTTCAGAGCCATACCTACAAATGGGCATGTCTCTTCATTTCTTCCAGGAGGGGAGCACAAATGTTTGAGCCCAGGAAATTCTCCCTACGGCTGTGATGCTGTGGGTGTACTTGGGTGACAGACATGGGAAAGGTGGCCCTTTTGCACCTGTCTCTGTTTCCAGGCTGGTTAACCGTGTTGCTGGGATCCCCATATTCATCTCAGAGAGCAGCCACAGCATCCCTGAGTCAGAACCAGCTCCACGGTTTGATTCATTCGTTGGGCTGCTCTCGGTCTTGTTTCTAATCTGTCCAATGCCTGTCATATCCAATTCACACTTGCTACAAGGCAGAAGAGATAATGATTTTGAAAGCACTTTACGTTATCGCACACAATAAAAATGTCAGGGCCACAGCATATGAATCTGCAGGGCTAATAAATAGCCTGGGAGGCCAGACAGGCTGTTCCCCACTGGGTAAACAGTGAGCAATAGGAGGTGAGAGCTCAACCTCCAACCCACCTGTGCTTGCCATTCGACCTTGGGTACCCACTTAGCTTCTCTGGAACTCAATGTCCTTGTCTGGAAATTTTGCCTGTGCACTAGAAGATCTGGTCTAGAGCCAAATCCAGCATAAATGTAAGAACCTTGGAGAATGGCTATCAAGCAACGAGCTAGACTGCACACTTCCCTAGAAGAGCTGAGGAGAGAGGGTAGCATCCTGGTCTGCCCTGTGTCTGGAGTAGACCCCAGTTCAGTGTTTCCAGAGACACTCTGAAGCAGCCTTCCATCTGGAACATGCATGTGGAAAACACGGACCTGCTGTTCACCTCCACTGCTCTCAGCCCACTTTTTATCCCCGCTTAGCGCCTCCTGCAAAAAAAACGCCCCACCTTCCTGCTACTGGAGTCAAAGTGTTCTTCCCCTTTTTATGCGAAACCACAGATGCTTAACACTCAAGTCTGTTTCTGAAGTTAGTGATCCCTCCATGCCCCTTTGGGCATCACCATGGATAACAGTAAAATGACAGGGGGCCAGAAGGGAAGGAAAGCTGAGTTCAGGATCCTACGGTTTGTCTGCTCTCTAAAGAGGAAGCCACGGATCTCTTAGAGCTCCTCAACTCATGTGGTTTACTAGGGTTGCCCTAAAAGCCCCTTTAGTAACCATGGTTCCCAGAAGGCTCTATCACAGTCAGGAGTATGAAAAGAGCAGTTTTTCCCCTATTTCCCCCTAAAATTCCCTGTCCTTGAAAAATATGTTTAAAAATATGCTGTAAAGGGATATGCCAAGGACATGTGCACCCTCTGACCCCTAAGATATTCATGAAGTTATCTGTGTTTCCAGCAGAAAGCGATTCTTCTGCAACTCTTCAGGAGGCAGCACAGACAGCTCTGTGCAAACCAAAGAATCTTGAAAATATATTCATCCCATAGCAACACTTGCTCCAGATAGAAACACGCAACAAATCTGAAGACAGAGCTATTCGTTTCCTAATTTAACACTGTTCCTCCAAGAAGAGAGGGGGTGGGGGAGGACTGGTTTCTCCAACTGTCCAAGTGCCAAGGTTGAATGCATTTGGTTTAAGGTATATTGGCAAGGCCTTTTTTCCAAATTCCTAATACTTGACAGTGTAATCAGTTAACAATTAACTCAATTTCAGAAATAGTGTTTGATCCTACAGTGTTTTGGCAATCAAACCATGGAAGCATGTCATCTTAAGATTCAGAGTCCTGACTTCCTACAACCACTAACAGAACCCTTTTTTAAAATACAGCATTCTAAAGAGATGGGCAAAACAAGCTGGCCTGATGTTTCTGGGACTCACACCTTGTACGTCAGCAGATGAACTAACCAGTGATTTAGGAACAAGGATGCTTTCCACCGGAGGAATCTCTAAAGCTACTCCCTGGGCTACCCAGAACAACGCCAGGATGCACAAGAAACCTCCAGTCTGAGCTCCACGTGTCTCTCCAAGGACGGAGAGACTCACCCACACACAATCACTCAGCCAGCCCACCAGGCACTTGCAGAAGGTAGCAGGTGCCCTCCGCCAAGCTATGCACCTGCATTCTGGGGTTCTCCCAACTTGCAAGCCCCCTGTACTGCCCATTTTCCGGAGGGCACAGAGGGGCCAAGGGACAGTTCCCACCTGCCACATCTCGTATTTCTTATCCTAATGTGTATGTCTCTCCAGCTACGAAATGAAACGTGCCTCTTCAAGGAAACTCACACACACACACACACACACACACACACACACACACACACACACACACACACATCCTTGAGCCCCATGACCAATCCTGAGGCAGCAAGTCTTTCCCTGGGGCCCCGGGCTCCTGGACGTGGAGGGGCTGAACTCACCCAGTCCTCGAAGTGATGGCTCCCGTTCTGCAGCAACTCCTCGAATTGGATGGTGCAGTTGGCCACGAAGTCGTCGTAGCCTATAGGAGCATCGTGAAAGACAGCCAGCTCGATCTTGCGCCCATTGCACACATCAGTGACGAACTCATCATGCCAGGCCGGGCTGTTGGTCTTCTGCTTGGTGGCAGTTTGGCCGATGCGCGAGTCGTCCACGTTGAGAGCAATGTAGGGGTCCAGAAGGAAAGTCTGTGGCCGGGGTCCCACTGCATGGCGTAGCGACCAGGCTGTGGGCTTCAAGCTCACGGCCTCGCAGATTTTGATCTTAAGAAGGCCATTGAACACTACCATGGTCGGGGCAGGGAACTGGAGCCGGGGTCACTCTGTCCGCCCCGAGGGCAGGAATGAAGAGCAGGCAGCAGGAGCGCTGGGAGCCTGGGGGACTCCTGGGTCCCCTCTCGCCCCACCCCACTCTCTCGCTACACCTTGTGACGCTGCGCCCTGGCGCCGGCGATTCTCAGTGAGTGCATGTATTTCCTCGCCGGATTCCTAACGGAAAACAGGGAGGGGGGAGAGCTGGAGACGTCCGTTTTTGGAGCAAGTCTCTCCCCCCACCACCGGCGACACCTCCACGGGAGGAGACGAGCTGTCTCCTCCGCTGCAAGTCGCGGGGGCTGCCTCGCTGGTTCTCCGGGTCCGTGTGCGGAGAAGCAGGCGCCGCGCCCGGCGCTCACCTACCTTTCCGAAACATAATCCCCAGGCAATTTCGAGTCCCGGAGGGGGAGGGGGCGGCGGGACGGGGCGGGGACGAGAACCGGGGGCGCAGATTTCAACCCGGATCCTCTTCGCCCACCCAGCGCCTGCCTCGGACAGCGCGGGGCGGAGGGTGGACTGAAGGATGTGCAGTCTATCCGGAGGGATGCATGTCGAGAGGAAATGGTCCTCCCCGGAGCCAAATTTTTAAAAAATCCACAAGCCTCACAGTCAGCCCGGCCGCCGCCTCCGGGGCCAAGCAGTGGAGCACCTCAGCCGGCGATCGGGAGGCGCCCGGCTCCCGGGATCTCACATCCGCGCGGGCTCGGGAGGTAGAGGTGGCCGCCACTCGGGCTCGGGGCGCAGGCCGGCACCCGGCGGTGCGCAGCGCGGCGGCGGGGCAGGGACTGCGACTCGGCGCGGCCCCTCCTCCCGGCCGCCGGCGCCCGCCCGCCCGCCCGCCGCGCTCCCCGCGTCCGCGCTCTCGGCTGCCGCCGGCTCGCCGCCCGCCAGAGCGCTCAGCCCGCGATCTCCTTCCCTCGATCGCCGTGCGAGCGATTCTCCCTCCCTCTAATGCAGGAAATGCGCAAAAGACGTCAGTCTGTGTGAGTGTGTGTGTGTGTGTGTGTGTGTGTGTGTGTGTGTGTGTGTGTGTGCACGCGCGCGCGCGCGCGCGACAGTGTTTGGGGAAATAGAAAGTTTTGCCGGTTGGGGGAGCAATACGGGAAAAGTGAGCTGAGCAGAAAACAGCAGCGAGCCGGCCAGCCCGGTCCGGTGGCGGCGACGCGCGAGGGAGCTGAGGGAGGACTCCGCGAGGGTCCCAGGAAGGTGGCGGCGCTGGGATGCGGGGGCGAGTGTCGCAGGCCGAATCTGTGCGCCTCTGGTCCGCACTGGGAGAGCCGGATCGGCACCCAGAGAGCGGGGAGGCCGCGCATTTCTCGCGCACTCTGCTGCCAACACTATCTTTTAGAGCCGGGGCTGGAGGAATGGAGGGGGTCGCAATGTCCCAGAAGACACAGCACCTTTCCCCACTCTGCCTGGACCGCGGCGGTCACCAGCCGCCCGCGGTAGAGCTGGCCTGTCTGTCACTCTGTCCCGGGATTCTCTACTGTGCCGCGGTGGGGGAGGGGGGGACCCGGACTGTTGAGCTCTTTTGCTGGGTGTGAGTTTTGAAACCTAATTTGCCTCTTCCTTTTCCTTGGGGAGATTCTCCCCTCTGGGGATCTGTCCCGGACTTGCTCCGATTGCGAGAACTTGTTGACAAGTGGAAGCCTGGTAGAACCCCGGCCCGGCTCGGTTCGAGTGTCTGTTTATTTCTCAAAGTGACTCCTCCTACACATGCGGGACCTCGCGTGTGCCCCTGAAGGGGACGAGGCTCGGATCCACGAGCTGACAGCGGGCGTCCGGGCTGCGGGAAAGCCGGCTGCGCCCTCCTGGGGGCCGGTGGCTGTATCCATGCTAATTTCCTCCGTAACCTTTAAACTCTCTCTGGAAGCGGCGGCGGCGGCGCCTGGTCACGTGAGGCGAGCCCTAGGCTGCTAGGGAAGAATTTCCTCCGCCCGGGATCGGGACCCGGGAAGGCGGCGGGCGGGAGACAGCCCTGAGCCGAGGGGACTGGGAACCTAGGAGGGCCGGGCGGAGTGCGCCAGGCCCCGGGAGCCGAACAGCGGGAACTTCCAGCCTGCGCCCGGGAAGGGGCTGGTCCAGCAGCTCCGGGCTGTGTGAGTGGAAAAAGAAAACCTCCGCCCTCACTCGTGTGCCAAGGCAAGTCCGGCTGTGTGTAGGGATCGTGAAAAGCTGGGTGTTTATCTGGCAACTCTGATAAGTGTAGACCAAAATGTACAAACTGCATCCCGTCCACTTTTTCCTCTGTGAAAAAGGGTTATCATTCCCTGTGGCTTAAAGACGAGGCAAGAGGCAGTCTCCAGGAACGCCATATCAAGTGCAGTACAATCCCCGCCTCCCCCGCCCCCCCCCCATACACACACAAAAAGAGCTCAGGAGTTTCACTGGCATCCAGCAGATCTCCTCCCAAAGTCGAAACGTGCAGTCACGCCCCCCCCCCCCCCATTTACTGATATTAGTTGGAGACGGTCCTGTTGCATGGGATAACTTGGTGTACAGATGGTGCTAAAAATGCAGCCTTGGGGACGATTATGGTCTTAAGATCATTAACAATAATAATAATAATTTAAAAACTTCCTTTCAGGACATGCAGTATTTAAAAAAAAAGGTAATGGAGCCGGGCGGTGGTAGCGCACGCCTTTAATCCCAGCACTCGGGAGGCAGAGCCAGGCGGATCTTTGTGAGTTCAAGGCCAGCCTGGTCTACAGAGCGAGATCCAGGAAAGGCGCAAAGCTACACAGAGAAACCCTGTCTCGAAAAACCAAAAAAAAAAAAAAAAGGTAATGGTAAATGAGACTTTATCTTCATAATGTCTGTTTAGGAAGCAGGCCCGGTGCTAAAAAAAACAAAAACAAAAATAACAACAACAAAACGATTCTAAGTTTAAAGAATACCAAAAACCTCATTAAACAAAAGAGTATTTAAGTCATTTTTTTCAAAGTAAAAGGTAATATGAATTTCCAGGATGAACAGAATATGCCATTTTTAGATCATTTTTAAATAGTTCAAAACGTACAGTTTGCTTTACTTAGTTTATTGCCACCCATTAAACTTTTTACCTAAATGGAATGTTTCATTTGCCCTACCCTAGTCCTGGGCCTGCTAGGCAGTCAGCAAGTCAAGGATTTCTTAAACTTAGAGATCCTGGCTTAACTAGTTAGTTGGTGTTTCTGATTTAACTAGTTGGTGTTTCCCACTGTCTTGCTAATTTTATTCATCAGACCCTATCTGACAAGCAAATAGAATTGGCCTAAATCCCTTCTTTTGGGCATATTAAACAAGAAATAAGTTTGGAATTAAAGAAGCACTGACTCTGAACGTTTGGTATAACTCACCCCCTCCCCTTCTCTCCTCCCACACCCTGCTTCCTGCAGGCGAACATATTAAAGACTTAAAATATAGGAGTCTTTTGCCATCTCTATGATTACCTTAAAGCAGATAAGCCGCATGCTGCCAATACTGTTACCCTGCATCCTGGTTAAGATTATAGGAGAAAAAAAAGTGCCTGTCTCTTAAGAGACTATCCGTGTACACGATCAGACTGCCATTCTCCGTTCTCAAGGGTAAACAGTATTAGTCTGCTTTCAATTACAGGTCTTTTGCATGGGGAATACAAAACACTTGGCCAAAAAGAAAAAAAAAAAAAAAGAAAGAAAGAAAGAAAATGCCAGTAGTATGTTGGATGAAGCTTTATATTAAAAGGGAGAATGTCGGTGCTCTTCATGAAAGCGGTTGCTCTCATTACATCCTTATTCTTAAACAAATCTCCCAACTTCCCACTCTCCAGCTTAGCCACAGGAAGATTCCCCAGGGGCATTATGAATATGTGAGACAGCAGCTTGTCAAAGCAACCCTCCCCACCTTCCCCCCCCCCACCCTGATTTCAAAACAGGATCTCACTTTGTAGCTCTGGCTGGCCTGGCACTCTGGCTGGCCTGGAACTCCCAGAGATCTTCCTGCCTCTGCCTCCTAAGCGCTGCCATCAAAGGCACGCGCCACCACAATATAAGGGAGCATTATTAAATTTACCTGGAGGGGAGATTCATCTAAAATAACCCACTTCAGACTCCAGATGAAAAGGAAAACAGGCCCTTGCCAGCTAGGGCTTAGAATGTAAACTTCTGATCATAATTACTGCCTGGTTCATCCTTCTCTTGGCTCTGTATACAAATGTAAAGGACAGGGAGGCAACTGTATATATATAGTGAGTAAAATGCCCTTTTAGATTGTAACAATAGTCTCGTTATTTCATAATCTTTGAGAGAGGGCAGAAGAGAGGAAGAACAGTGATGTAAGAATGTAACAAAGACGATCAAGCTGGGGGCATGGAGGAAGGACTCATAGTACAGTGTGGCGAGCCTGCCCAGGGCGGCACAGTCCATGTCGTAACAACAGTTCCAGGAATAGGAGCAGCATCCCTTGCCTGGGGGGAGCTGAGGGAAACATCACTACCAGGCCCTTTGAGCCAGAATTCCGTCAGCAGTAGACAGGGAAAGACATGGGAGGCAAGGAGAACAGACCATGAAGCATGCGGGAAGGAGCATCTAGCATGGCTTGTTCAGGTAGGAACAGGAGGCAAGGTGGGTAGGAACAGTTCCTAGGGCACGCAGATGGCTTTGAACTTCTTCCTAGAGAGACACTGAACATTCTAGTGGTTGGGAAGTGTTGCTAGAATAAATTCTTTTAAAACACAGTTTAATATAACTCGGGGTATAACTCTAGTGTGTTTCAGGGGGTCCCTGGGTTCACTCCCTAGAACTCCGGTGGGGAGGCGCAGAGAGGAGAGCAAATCGATGTTTTCCTCTTCTGTAACTTTGCCCCAGCAGACTCACCTCAAAACAGGGTACCAGAGATTCACAACTGAAGATGATTTGCACTCGGCTCAAGAACGAAACCTTCTGTGGGTGTTGTTTAGATCTGCTAAAGGCAGCAGGCAAGGAGGGGCCAGAACCTTAGAGGCATGTGTTAATATCTGTGTCCCTGCTGCTGGCCAAGTCTTGCCATTTAAAGGCACTTAATGGGCCTCGAAAAGATCACCATGATCAGGGTATATCGTCCATCCCTCGCAGGCTCCACTGAAAAGAATTCAACCACCTGAGCCTGGGGAGATGGCATACTCACTAGCAGAGTAACAGAAGCCTTTCCTGGCCTTGCCAACCCAGCTCCATCCCAGCTCCTGCACACTCCCAACTCCGTCCTAGGCTCTCTGTGGGCTGGCTTTTACCTGGCCTACCATGGCTAATTTTGGCCCTGGCTCTACTCTGAACTCCGTTGCTGTAACTCAGAGGCCAACTTTCCCTTGAACCTGCAAGGAGATGGTCACCCCATAAAGATTAATGGTCACCCCCATAAAGATTAAAAAATGGATGCAGGGAAGTGATAGCCTGACACCTGCTTCCCATCGTTCCCTGGAATGACAGCCCACCATCTAGGACACCACATGGAGATAATATCCTGTATATCTACTCTTAGGTTGTGCTGTGTCTAGAACCTTTAAATACCCATGAATCCAAAGGTCTTTACTAACTACATGCTATGTAATAGATTCAGGGATGGAGGGCTGGGTATGTGACTCAGTTGCAGAGTACTGGTCTTGCATGTGGGAAGCCCTGGGTTCAGTCCTCAAGAACACACACACACACACACACACACACACACACACACACACACACACCCCTCTTCTAGATTGGGTGCTCTGGAGAAAAGAGTTGTTGACTAATTCCTCCTCAGCCAAGGAGATGACTAGATCATTTAATTGTTTATTAGTCAGGGTGGAGCTGTCACGGGTTTAGATGAACTCAGATGTGCTGCTGGCTGCCACGACATGATCAGCAATCCCCAGGTGGCAAGACATGTGGCATGTTGGTGGGACCTCTGCCCAACTAGCATCAATCACTCTTGTCCCTGTGTCCAAGCTCACTGAACATCACTGGTGACAGGCACAGAGCAAGGGCCGTCTGGAGGGTCTTCCATAGGCAAAGAGTGCTGGGAAACAACTGAGTCTCTGCTACTCACCAGCTGATAGCTAAAACCAGTAACATAATGTGACCCCTCTCACCTGACTGCAAGGGGGCTGGGCAGTTCTACCATCTGCACAGGCGAGGCTCTGGAGTATTGAGTGAGTAGCCCTGGACACTGCTGTCGATATTACTCTCAAATATTCGGTACAGTAAGTCTGTATCCACCATGGTAGATAAAGAGCTCAGCTGGTAAGTGCCATAAAGGGGGTGGAGCATGGTCCCAGCCATGATCACAGCAAGTTTGGGACTGTCTGGTCCCCAGTGGACCTGAGCCACCACATAGAGAAGACATGGGTGACATAGTGAACCAATGTCCCCCCATCATGCTCCCTTCTTTCCTTCATAGGTCACTCTCCAGGACCCAAAGACCCTTAATGCCACACTGGAACCAAGACAAACTAAGGAGACAGCCACAGAGCTGAAGGGACTTGTTTGCTTCTCTGCAGGATGTGACAGAGAACTTTATCTATCTTTATTGTTAGGAATCTGGGACTAGAGGAATCTAAGACTTGCCAAAAAAAAAAAAAAAAAGACAACAACAAAAGAAAAACACTAACTAGAGGTCTGGATCCAAGTACTAAACCTCCTAGTTAAATTTCCTGCTAAATAAATAAATAAATAAACATTGTCATGCTGGAACCAGTACAGCATCGTTTAATTATGACAATGTCAGTTAATTTCATTCCTTAGTAGCGATATTTCTGCATACCCAAGGTCTGGGCTTATCTTAATTTATTGATTCTAAATCAAACTGACCTTATACTAGTATAACATAATTCTTGTAACAAAGTACTTAATATATTATGATAACGATATACTTATGCCCAAAGGGACAATAGAGTGCTTGTGTTGTTTGGGTGATTAAAAGGCCTAAAACCAAGCCAGGTAGTGGTGGCACACACCTTTAATTTCAGCACTCGGGAAGCAGGGGCAGTTGGATCTCTGTGAGTTTGAGACAAGCCTAGTCTCAGTGAGTTCCAGGGCTACATGGAGAAAAATCTTGTCTTGAAAAACTGGAAGAGGGGGACTTAACCCAAAATCTATCTCTCTCTCTCTCTCTCTCTCTCTCTCTCTCTCTCTCTCTCTCTCTCGTTCAAGACAGAGTCTCACTGTGCTCTGGCTGGTCTGGAACTCACAGAGTTCCTCCAACTCCTGACTCCTAACGCTGGGAGCCAAGGCATGCACCGCCCTGCCTGGCATAGCCTTGTTATAGTCGTGCATCTCGACTCCTAGCGCTTCTAGATACATCGATGTCGGCATATGGCTTCTGACACCTGGACAACTGTAACAGACGCTCCCGCTGGCTTCCCTGTCTCAAGCACACTCTGGACATCTAGCCGACCCATTTCTACTTTCTCACCTACCTTTCGGGCTCAACAAGGGCTCCAGGGCAGGGACTATTGCTGCTTATCACTGATGAGAATCAGGCACAGTGAAATGTAGTACCAGAACCTGTTACATCTACTCATTCTGTTGGTAAAGGCCCTGGTCCTCCGTGGACAGGGCATCCCTGTCCAAGCTGAAGCTGGAGCCCCCTTCTGGAACTCTCTACCACTTTCACCTTTCCCTCTTTATTCACGATAGAGTTATTTGATGCTTGTCTTAATCTGCGACCCCCCCCCCAAAAAAAAAAGGTTTAAAAGTTCAGAAACTCAAGCATGACTCGTTTTGGAACTCCCAAGTATCCTAATGATTCTTCTGTAATAATGCTACTGATAGGGTTCTTAGGGTGTCAAGAGTCAAACAAAAGGACTTCTTTGTATTTCAAACAAAAGGACATTTTTGTACTGATAATGTTTGCTCTAGAAACATTTAAAGAAAAAAAAAGGGGTGTTATCAATGGCTTTCTTGTAGGTTCGCCGTTCTTTCTCCAAATGCCTGTTCGGCAGCAATGGGATCAGAGAGGGCCTGGGCAGCACCTCCGGCCAGCGCCCGCCCGCATGCCATGCCCGGCTCTGCGAGCCCACGGCGCCCTCTGGTGGACGCTGGCAGTCGCTGCTGTGAGTTGAGCTGAGGAAGAGGACCATTCCTTTTTGCCCTGGTTTGCTCTGGCTTCTCTCTCTGTTAGATGCAGTCCAAACCAGCGATGAATGGATCGGGGAATGGAGTCTAAGGAGGGTTCCAGAGGCTCTGTCATCTCGTGCTGAGCATCTGCAAAGTAGTTGGGCAAGGGAAAGAGTTCTTCTTATCTCTACCAGGGCTTTTGGAAGAGGCACCTAACCCAGGAGAGGGTGCAATGGGCACCACGTAGTCCTAGGAGAATTCTGCTCTCATGCCACGTATACGCCATTACCCTCTCTTTTCCCCATTAGTCACCATCTCAAAAATATGCTGTTGTTCTGAGATGCGGTCTCATTTTGTTAGAGAGGCTGCCTTGACTCAGTTTTCCAGGCTGGCTGATCGAACTTCTGATTTTCCTCTTGCTGTGCCTCCAAAATGCCCGGATTGGATATACACCATCATGCCCATTTTTCGCCTACTTTGGATACAATATTTTTAACCCTTCATTTCACATTTCTCTCCTGCCACTGCTCAGCCTCGGTCCTTCCTCCTCCCATTCCTTAAGTTCCTTATTTTCGAGGTCTCCATTTCTGCAGTCTGCCCTCAGCCCACCCACGGTGCTTACTGGACCCATCTCCCATTTCCACCATCCTCAGCCCTGGTTTGTAGTCTGCACCTGACAGAGCGGTGCTCTGCAGTAGACGATGTAGGGTCCCCTCCCTCCCTGGTTTCCATGACATCTGAGCCCTCCACGCTTTCCCCCACCTCCTGGCTTCTCCTCTCCAGTTTCTTTTGTTTTCTCTTTTGGCCTTCCTCTTACGTGCATCATTATTCGGCAGGCATGATGCTGAATGCCGAGATAAAGGCCCTCTGGAAGAGGACAGGTGGAAAACGGGCCTGGGATGGGAGGATGGACAAACGGCCCATTAACTGCGCAGAGAACTAAAAATGTGAGTTAACCCAGTGGGGTGTGTGTGTGTGTGTGTGTGTGTGTGTGTGTGTGTGTGTGTGTGAGAGAGAGAGAGAGAGAGAGAGAGAGAGAGAGAGAGAGAGACAGAGACAGAGACAGAGACAGAGACAGAGAGAGATCTACAAGGGGGCTCATGAGAAGGGAGGAAGAGATCTTCTGAGAGGTGAGAAATAGGGTTGTGGGTGGCATGAAACAGGAAAGCTGACAGGGAAGTGACCACAGGAAGGAGGGAATTAGAAGGGGAAGGGGCACAAATGTAAACAGGGAATATTGAGTGTCACATGCATATGAAGGTGGCAGGATAAACCTATTACTGTGCATTCTAACATAAAAAGTTAATTTTTCTTTTAAAAAATTGTTGTGGCATTTATTTCATGTTGGAGTCAGAGGGCAACTTTCACTAGCCACTTCCTTCCTTCGACCACATGAGTCTCAACACTCCAACTCTTGTCATCGGGATTGGGGACAGCTTGCCGGTCCTGAAAAGTTAATTTAAAAAATTTAAAAGAAAAAAAAAGGCTTAATCCAATGTGCTGGCTAGGTTTTTTGTTTGTTTGTTTTGTTTTTTCCCCCTGTAAACTTGACACAAGTTAGAGCCATCAAGGAAGGGTAGCCCTGACGGTGTTAACCAGTAGAAGGATGACAGCAGTAAGAACACCTAATGTCTTTGCAGAGAGCTGGCATCACCCATGTCCAGGTGAGTGAGAGTCCTAGACCTCCAGACACTTGAGGCCTCTCTCTCTCTCTCGGACCAGGTTTGTCTACTTCATCTAAGCAACAACCAGAGGCTCCCGGGACATCTTACTGCCCTGAAGGTGAGAACTGACGCTGGGTCCCTTGCTGGGGTCTTCTCTTTACTTTCCATTGCAACCTGGCCTATAGATGCTGGAGCTAAACTGCAGCCAGTTCTGTCGTGCCTCACCACCCAGGCACTGGGTCTCCCTTGAAGATTCCATTGATCCCCACTCGCTGCAGCTCTGGAGCCTCAGGTTGCCATGGCTGGTGTACCTGTTGCCATGGCTGGTGTACCGGTTGCCATGGCTGGTGTACCTGTTGCCATGGCTGGTGTACCTGTTGCCATGGCTGGTGTACCGGTTGCCATGGCTGGTGTACCGGTTGCCATGGCTGGTGTACCGATTGCCATGGCTGGTGTACTGGTTGCCATGGCTGGTGTACTAGTTTGCTTTGCCCTAGAACAGTATTTTAGCAGCACTAACATGGCTGAAGTTTCACTGCCCTCACGAGCGTACTCTTGCGGAGGAGCATACTCTTGCCAAGGGCTGGCTTCCGGTTTGCTGCTTTGTTTATGCCTTCTGTCCTTTGCTTCCTCTCCCCCTTCTTCCCTCCCTTCTTTTCTGTGGCAACAGGATTTTACTATGTAGCCCAGGCTGGCCTTCCACTTGAGATCCTCCTGCCTCAGCCTCCCAAGTGCTGATTGATGGAATTAAAAGCCTGGCGGTGGTGACGCACGCCTTTAATCCCAGCACTCGGGAGGCAGAGGCAGGAGGATCTCTGTGAGTTCGAGGCCAGCCTGGTCTACAAAGTGAGTTCCAGGAGAGGCGCAAAGCTACACAGAGAAACCCTGTCTCGAAAAACCAAAAAAAAAAAAAAGCATGTATCACCAAGTCAACAGCTTTTTCCTTTCCTTTCCCTCTCTCTCCCTTCCTCCCCCTCCCTCCTCCTTCTCTACCTTCCTTCCTTTCCGAACATCCTAAACATGTACTCTACCACTGACTTACAGACTCATCCTCCATTCCTAATTTTTACCCCTCCTGTATTCACCTTCCCAAAAGGGCTATTAAAAGTGTTTAAGCTTTAGCTCCCATGAAACCTGGGTCCACCATGGCCTTTCTCTTATTCCCGCTTAAATATGGTTGGTCCCTTCCAAAACTCACACGGGAGTTTGTGATGGTTATTCTTGATCGTCAACTTTACTGACCTCGGAATCACCATGGAAACATACCTCTAACTATATGGTATGAGAGGTTTTTCCCCAAAGGATTTGACTAAGTAGGAGGGCCCCACCATGAATGTGGGCCACATCATTCCATGAGGCCAGTCTCGAACTAAAGAAAAAGGCTAAAGTGAGCGAGCATCAGAATCCCTCTCTCTGCTTCTTGAATGTGGACATGATGTGAGGAGCTGCCTTATATGCCTGCTGCCGTGAGGGACTGTATCCCTATCATAAGATAAGGAGTTGCTTTGGCCAGGCATTTTGCCCAGCAACGTTGCTAGTAAAGAGTTGAATCCCCATTGTGAGGGATTAGCCAGGTGAGAGAAACTTGATTCAGCACTGCTATTTAGAAATGGAAACTTAGGGAGGTGGTTGGGATTAGACAAGGTGTCAGGGTAGATTCCCCAATTAGATACTGGTGTCTTAAATTTTTCACTTTCTTGTGTGTGCGCGCGCGCGCGCGCGCGCGCGCGCGCGTGTGTGTGTGTGTGTGTGTGTGTGTGTGTGTGTGTATACATAAGGACGCCAGAGGTTAACATCAGATATTTTTCTCAACCTCTATTTTATTTATTTTCTCTCACTAAACCTGGAGCCCACTGCCACACTAGACTTTATGTGGGTGCTAGGGATCTGAATTCAAGTTCTCATGCTTCTACAGCAAACATTTTACCCACTGCCGCTACCTTAGTACTGTTGTCTTTATAAGAGGACACGCACGCACACACGCACGCACGCACGCACGCACAGGTTTGATCTGTCTCTTGTCAAGTGAAGTTCTGTATCACCTCCAGCCTTGATTCAGCCAATCAAGAAGCCCATTCTCCTGATGCTGGAGTAGAACTCTGAGACCAAATAAGCCTCTTTGCTCTACCACTTCCCAGCCTGTGACAGTCCTTTACAAGCAACAGAAAACAGAAATGCTATGCCATGGCTGGCAAGCCCCCTGAATCGGGGACCGTGTGTCAGATTCCTTGGGACATTGCTAGTGTCTTCAGCACACACTAGGCTCCCAATAAACATTGGACAGATGAAAGATGAAGAGAGAGGGTCCTTAGTGTCCACTTAGCTGATGTCTCTCACAGAGAGTCCTCAGCACTGTCACCTGGGCAATCCAATGGCTGGCCTGAAGTGCCTGTCCCTCCAACATAACCCAGTTGGATGCTTAGGGACTTTGTTCTGGGACCCATCACTTCATGGGCCTCAGTATAGTCAAGTGTAGACTGTACAGAATGACCAGCATGTGGAATTAGGGATAGGAACAAGTAACTCTTAGGAAATGCCCTCCCTGGGGAACATTTTGTTTTTAATCCTTTTATCACCAGCTGCCAGCAACTTCTTCCCCTAAGGTGACTCATGGAACACAAAGGGATTTTCCTTGGGCCCAGCATCCTACTAAGGACAGACACAAGCCCAGGTCTTCGTAGCCCCCACCCCCTGCTCTGCTTGTCCCTGAAGTAAGACACGAAGCTGCAAGGGGAAAAATTCAAGGAGCCTATGTAATAACGAAAATTAAAACATGAGAACCAACATGGCTTGCCAGCTTCCCTATGCAGCTGAGGTCAAATTCCCCCATCATCTTACCTAACAGAAACCCCTACTTATGTGGGTCCCTAGCATGGCTACCAAGGAGCGGTTATTTACCTGTCTCGCACAGGACAGACCACAGCAGAAGTGAACTGAGTCACGGGCTTCAGGTGCCAGAGCTGACAAGCGGTAATACCAGAACTGTAGCCCAAGTCCGTGTCCTCCCTGGGCATGACCTCGCACCCCTAAGCTTCCACCCAGGCTGGTGACATGTGCCCCTCACTTATCTGGTCAGAACCAGAGTGCAGCCTTGTAAGAATGAAGCCCGATGCCACACAACTTACCTTGTGGCTATGGGTTGTCTCTAAGAACAGAAAAACAATGCACGCTTCTCTCCCTCTCCTCTGTGTCTGCACATGCCACTTAAATATCAACAGCAAGGCTGTACTTTCAGGAGGGGAGGCTAAAATCGTCTTAGATTATGGATTAGCCTATAGAAGAATGTCTGTCGTAAATCAAACAGTGAAGGGGAAGATGAACAGGAATCTCACTTACACAACTTAAGTAAAACATAGCTCTCTGAACAGATGCAGATAGGTTTCTTCTGTATCCCAGAATCTAATCAATGTTTATATGTATAATTCAGCTATCATTTGGCTTAAAAGGGCTTATTGGGAAATGTTATCATTTTTACTATTTTCTACAGAGAAAATATTTTCCTGCTTAAAATAACCCTGGACTTTTGAATTATAACCTGTTTTTATGTTCAAGCTATCTGTGTATTATTTCTCCTGCAGTTGTACATAAAATGTTTTTACATTTAAAAAAGGGACAAATACTATAGAATTGTATTATAAGAAATATATAGAACATATAAATTCATAGAGACAGAAAGATTAGACATCTCAAGATGGAGAAAAAAGGAATATAGAGCAATGATTTCCTAAGTACAGATTTTCTGTTTTGTGTGATGGTAAAGCCTCACAAATGGACAGTAGTATCAGGATATAATATCATGAGTGTAATAAATCATATCATAAATATAGTTATTGAATGAAGACTGCAAATGTAATCAATAAATACCACAAATGTAATTAATATCATGAGTGTAATTAATGAATATCATGAGTGTATTTAATATCTTGGATGTAATTCATACCACTGAATTGTGAACTTAAAAATGGTTACAATTGCAAATATTATGTTCATTTAAAAAAATTAAGCAGAATGTAATCACCATACATTATATGTGTGTATGAAACTGAAGACAGCGATGTTCTAAAATAGAAAGTGGTGATGGTGTCCTGGGCCTATGAGGATGCTGGACTAAAGTCTATCAAATTGTGCAAACGGGCAAATTGTATACTGTGTGAATTACTTGTCAATAAAGATTTTATAAAACCTTAAAAAAGAAAAGAAAAAAGTCACCAGCAAATTCATTAGGGCACATAGATGGGGGATGGGGTGGAGGAGCAAGCACTTCACATTCATTTCAATACAGGTTTCACTCCTTCTTTCACGGCAGTGATAGCTAACCACTATTGGCTGAGACCTGGGTAGACTCCTCATCAAAACAGATTTTTTAAATCACATGTTAACATTTTATAATCCGTCATTTTTTTAAAAAAAAATGAACTGTTATAATTGCCGAGGTTTTAAGATTTTAAAAATTGATTATGTACTTGTATGTGTATTATGTGTCTGTACATGAGTGGAGGAAACCAGAGGTGTCAGATTCCCCCCGGACCTGAAGCTGGAGCTACAAAGCGGTTGTGAGCCACCAGATGTAGGTGCCTAAAATTGAACTCCTGTCCCTTGCAAGAGCAGTATATGCTCTTAACCTCTGAGCCATCTCTCCAGCCTGCAACCAGTGGTACCCCTGACCTCCCCAACCAACAATTCCCCTGCTCTGCCCCCCCACTACCCCCTTTCACACACAGATGCCCTTACTCTGTATCCCCAACTTACCTGGAACTCTATTTCCAGAATAGAGTCCACTTGGTAATAAGATACTGATTTTTATATATTTCTGTATCCAATTTACCCAGTATTTTGTTGGAGATTTTTGCATAAATACTCTTGAATGATACTGATCTAGTTTTTTCCCCCCTATTCTTATTTCCAAATGTAAACATCTAGTGGTTGAAGTGTCCCTCTGAGGGCTGCTTTACTTACGTAATTTTCATTTAGTTCTATAATATTTTTAAATGTCCACTGACATATTTTTCTCCAGTCCATGGATTATTAACAAATAATAGAGAGCTCCAGTTTGGAGGGAAAGCGTCGCAGATATCTTTCTGTTACGAGCATCCTGGTCATATAATGTATTATTTTGAATATAAATTGAGGTTTACTTTATGATCTAGGATATAGTTTGTTTTAGTGATGGTTCAAGAGCTCTTGAAAACACTGTAGGTTGAGCTATTGGGATGACTCAGTTGATAAGGGTGCTTGCTGCCTGACCTGATGGTCAGAATTTGTCCTGGGAACCCACGTGGTAGAAGAGAACTGACTCCCACGAGTTTTTAATCATCACTGGTATTTTGTCACACCCACAGGGAGGTTATGGATATGAGTCCCCTGCTCCAAGCTTCCGGGTTTCCATAGGAAGAAGAACACATTTGGCAGATTCATCCCCTTGACTGAACCTGCCTGGGTGACCCAAGTAGCTGGAAAATCTGGAAGAGGTGAGAAAGGAAGCTGGGGACAGAGAATTGATGTCTTTTTTTACAAGTAGCTCATGATTAACTGGGCCCCACATTAACTGAATAAGAAAAATCTCACTTGAATCCCATAGGGATCACCTAAAATAAGTAGTAATTGTGTACATGGAAACAAAGGCTCATGGAGGGGGGGGGATTACACACATAATCACACAGTTCCGAAGCGTGAGAAACAGAGTCAAGGCAGTCTATCTGAGTCCATGTTTTCTAGATTAGGGATTGCTACCTTCTGTTGGAATTCTGAAAAGTCTCTAGAATGAGGTCAAAGGTGGCTGAGGACAGCAGCAATGACACCAGCCTTCACATGCCTCACTGGCAGCTTTAGCCGCTCCAGTCCCTCTGGGATTTCTGGTCGCTCTGTTCTGGGTTTGTTGCTGCCCAGGTCTGGTGACTGGCACAGGTATGAGCCAAAGTTACCTTGCAGAGGTTCTTGCTTTTGACCCTTTGTGGCCTACATCCCCCAGGCCCCAGCCCACACCCTCTGGTCCAGAAAACAGAATATCCCAGAAAAGGCACATCCATCATGTTTGTGCTGGGCCAGGAGGTCTCAGGGGTAGATTAACTGGGAACAAGCCCGAGTCCCCCTTCCCTCAGCCCTTCTGAACAAAAAAAAAATTTTTTAATGAGCAACAGTTAACCTTTAAAGGGAAAAAGTTAAGCAAACAGAATATTACCATAGAAACACAATGTCTAAATCCCTAAATTTCCTAGTTACACCTATTTCTCTCTTATATCCCACAGTTTAGGAAGATTATGCTTCCTTCCAACTCTCTCCCATCTTTTTTAGACAATAATTGTCCTTTACCCAGGAAAGGAAACTGTCCAACTATTCAGTTCTCAGATCAAGCAAACACACACTTGTTCCTTGAGTTACTAAGCATGGTTGAGAAGAGGCAGGTGGAGAGCTCTGTTTGGGAAAGGATTCTGGAGATGCACGTTAAGGCTGGTTTCCTCTTCAGTGGGTTGTTTGCTCTAGTTAGCTTTGAAGTCTATCAAAGGCTCCTCTGGTTGCCTCCCACACCCATCTACTCACCTACAGCTCAATTTCCCTATGACATTTCTCTTAGAACAGGGAGAAGATCCAAGTTTCCAGGTCCCTGTCTGACGAGTTACCAGCTGCGTGAACTGGAGCGAACCCCTTAATGTCTCTGAGTGCCAGTGTTTCCGTCCTCCAAAGGAAGCCAGTCATCTCTGCTTCCTACTCACACTGCAGCTCACAGCCCGGAGGAGGCTTGTGAAAGCATAGAAAACTCCAGAGGCCAGTGCAGATGTAAATAACAGCTTTGTGAAAAAAAAAAAATGTTGTTCCTCCAAGATGACAGCTGTCATTTCATTGTTCAGAACTCAATATTGGACAGAAATCCTAAATGTCAGTAGTTTGTAGTTTAGTGTAGAGAGAACATTTCTTTACATTTCAGGTAAGAGCTCGTCTATGATCCACTCCAAAATGTAGGTGTGTCCTAAAACTGCATCCCAAACAGGAAAAAATGCCTCCGGATGCCCTGAAGGAGCTAGCTTTTCTTTCTCCACACAGACTTCCTAGAACAACACTTGCGAGCACCATGGAGCCTCCCTCCTTCAGGACCCATCTGTCAGCTCTCCCTAAGGATGCCCTTCTCATGTGAGTCAGTTATGATTGTTAGAAAATGACTCTGAAATGAGAGTCTGAACGTGCTTCCACCTAGCATTTTGCCTGCCCTTCATAGCCTACAAGTCTCTCTCGCACACAAACTGGGACCTTGTTGGACTTCCTCATCCTAGACAAGACACCTGGAGTGCACTCCTCACCATCTTAATTAGCTTTCTGCTGCTGTGACCAAGGCAACATATAGAAGAATTTATTCTGGACTTCCAGATTTAGGGGGTTAGAGTCCATGACCAACACGGCAGCAGGCAGGCAGACATGGCCCTGGAGCCGTAGCTGAGAGCTTACGTCTCTTCCCATAAGTATCAGACAGAGAGAGCTAACTGGGAATGGTGGGAGCTTTTGAAGCCTCAAAGCCCATCCCCAGTGACATACTTCCTCCAACAAGGCCACACCTCCTAATCCTTTCCAAATAGTTTCACCAGCTGGGGATTAACCATTCAAATGTATGAGCCTATGGGAGCTGTTCTCATTCAAACCACCACACCCACACAACAGGGCTTCCAATCCCATTGCCCACCTGATGATGGTCCTTGGGACACACTGAGGTTGTCAAGGTCCCTTCAAGTGTTCCTGGGTTAGTCTCCTGTTGCTGTGAAATAAATTGCCCTAAACCCTCATGACCTAAGCATGTATCCTATTGTTCTCGGACTCAGGAATCCAGAGATGGTTTAGCTGGGGATTTTTACTCTGGCTCCATCATGAGGGCCCGAATGTCATCCGATCTGGAATGCATGGAACCTAAACCACATTTCATCACTTCTGCCAATATATCATCGCCAACACTAACAAACTCAATATCTTCCAGATTCAACTTGGCCTGTCAAATCAGAGTCAAATGTAGCTGGTAGAAAATTACTTACGAATCAATATATAGTTGGGTGTGGTAGTTGAGACTCTGACTAATAAACTCTCCTATAGGAGATCTGACTGAAATTTGACCAAATTGAAAAAAAAAAAAAAAGATGGCCTCTAAGCCAGAGATTGAAAATGTGGTGTCTGGTAAATGGGCCACATCACAGTCATTGGAATCTGATTAAAAGGCATATTCCCTGAGTAGCAGGGGTACAGCTCCACATTAGAAAGCTTGTCTGCCCTATGTGAGCCCTTGAGCCCTGGATTCAAGTACCTTTATGGAAAGGATCTGGAATTCAGGCAGGATGGTTGGTGTGGGGGTGAGTGGGTGGGGTTGAAGCAGATGTCAGTATGCTTGGAAAGCCGTGCAGCCTACATCTGGACAGATCAAGCAGAGGAACTTGTCATAAGAGAACAGTATTTTAAATATTCTGCTAATAAAACTAAAGGTTTTTATTTTCCCCAAACCAAGGAACTGGAACATTATTCCAATTTCCCACAGGGATGCTAACAAATCTCATCAGGAAGCCAGACCTACAACTCAGAAAACTCATGCAAGATAATGGCTAGCATGGATTTGTCTGCCAGTGACTAAGGGGCCTTCTCTCTGGAAAAGAAGTCCTTTAAAACTATGACATGAATCTCAGAGGTCAACAGTACAAACACAAACTGTTTCAGATGGAAAAATGATTATAAGAAAATTTCGCTGCCGATGCCAATAGCTAGGAAAACAAACAAATAAAAATCAAATGATAAACTGGGGAAAAGATTTATAATCCATATAAAAGGGCCTTTGAATGATCCTTTCTGGTGACTTCTCTTTCCATTCTACAGGGTTTTGAGGGAGGTTTGCTGACTTTTTTTACACTTCACTGTTGCTGGAAGTGTTGCTGAGTCCTTAAAACACAATCACACGAACAAAACCTCAGCTGTTTTTGTACAAAGCATCCAACAGCTACCATGGGTTAACCAGCTTTCTGTCAGTGTAAGTGAAATGACTGAAGTCACGCCATCTTGTCCTGATCTTACCCTAGCTTTACTTTATGTCTGCTTGGGTGCTTTTTAGTCCCTGACCCTGAACAGTCACACTTTGGCAACCCATTAGGAACTTTCCATGATCCTGACCATGGTCCAAACGCATGACCAAAATATCTGCTTAACGTATAGCACACACAAATGTCACCAGGTTCCCCTGAGCTACACCTGACAATAATGTCACTGTGCGTTTTGGCTTTAAAAATTCTGTACCCCTGAACTTTGTGCCAAGAGTTTTTCTGAGGCACTAGTCTGCTCCAGTTTAAGCAAAGATAGATAGATAGATAGATGATAGATATACAGAGAGAGAGACAGAAATACACACAGAGAGAGAGAGAATTGGGATTGTTATGGGCTTTTGAAACCTCAAAGCCCACCCTAATGACACACCTTCTCCAACAAGGTCACACTTCTTAATCCTTCCCAAACAGTTCTACCAACTGGGAACCAAGCATTCAAATATATGAGTCTATGGGGGTCATTCTCATTCTTAATTCTTATTTTTTTCCAGAGCTGAGGACTGAACCCAGGGCCTTGCGCTTGCTAGGCAAGCGCTCTACCACTGAGCTAAATCCCCAACCCTCATTCTTAATTCTTATGCACTGCCAGTGGGAATGAAAAACATTGCAGTTACCATGCTAAACAATTTAGTAGTTTCATATAGAATTAAGCACATATACCACATACTCAGAAATCCTGTTTTTAGATATTTATTTACTCAAGAGAAATGAATACATATGTCCACACAGACACATGCACATGGATGCTCAAGTAGCATTATTTATAATGGTCATGAAGTGGAAACAATTTAAATGTCCATCTGATGAATGGATAAACTACAGTGATCTACAAAGCAGGATACAACTGATTATCAAAGGAAATGAACTACTGATACATGCAGTGAAATGCATTAATCCCAAAGGCATTATACACCCTGAAAGAAAACAGCCTGAAATGATTAGCCTATGAGATTCTAATTCTATGGCACTCTGGAAAAGGCAAATGATCAAGAATAGAGAGCAGATCACTGATCACTGGCTGGAGGGCCCCAATTACAAAAGAGTAGTGTGTGTGTGTGTGTGTGTGTGTGTGTGTGTGTGTGTGTGTGTGTGTGTGTATGTAAGGGTATGATGGTAGTGTCTCATAACTTGACCAAGGATGCTGTTCATTATACTGTTGTGTGATATTTTATTTGTGCTCTGACAAATAAAGCTTGCCTGGAGATCAGAGGGCAGAGCTAACCACTAGCTAACTATAGAGGCCAGGCAGCAGTGGCACACACCTTTAATCCCGGCATGTGGGAGGAGGAAGCAGGAAGATCATGAGTCAAGGCCACTCTGGGCTATACAGTTGAAAAAAGAAACAAAGTCAGGCAATGGAGACTCACATCTTTGATCCCAGCACCAGGGAGGTGGAGACAGGAATATAAGGCAGGTAGAGACAAGATCACCACCATTCAGTATGGAGATTCATAGAGACAGGATCCCCCTTAGTCGGTCTGAGATTTGTAGAGGTAAGAAGTCTCTGATGGCTGGCAATTCCTGACTCTGCCCTTCCTCTTCCCAGCATTTTTAGTTTGGTTGCTCCACCTATATTTCCTGCCTGGCTATGGGCCAATCAGCATTTTATTAAACCAATTCCAGTGACAAATCTTTACAGTGTACAAAAGGATTATTCTACAGCATTTCCCCCCTTTTTGTCTAATTAAAAAGGAAGGTTTCAACTTCAACATAGTAAGATTATATATAACAAAAGTAGTTATTTTTTTGAAAAAAAAGGTTTATTTATTTATCATGTATACAAAAGAGGGAGCCAGATCTCATTACAGATGGTTGTGAGCCACCATGCGGGTGCTGGGAATTGAACTCAGGACCTCTGGAAGAACAGTCAGTGCTCTTAACCTCTGAGCCATCTCTCCAGCCCACAAAAATAGTTATTAAGTAAGAATTACAGTAACACTATCTAATCCATTTGTATTTGGCAAAATTAGAGAAAATACTTAATTATCTATCTTATGGTGAGTCTAAAGTTTTGTATCTAATTTGCTCTCTATTATAACTAAGGAAAACTATAATTATACAACTGTATGTGTTTGTTAGAATAAAAAAGTTGAATTTTAGCCTGGCATGATAATGTACTTCTGTTTAGCACTCAGAAAACACTGAGGTAGAGAGATCACAAGTTTAAATCCAGACTGGGCTACAGAGAAAGACTCTGTATCTAAGAACAAGTTGAGATTTACTTTATGTAAATTATAACTTAATGAATTTGGCTTAATAAGTGCACAATTACTTAGACATAGACTGATTTGATAAACAATGCTTTTCTGAATTGAAATTCTAGTTACTTTATGACGACTTTAGTATTAAAATTTTTACTATAAGAATTCCTTTTAATTTTTCAAATAACCTTTTAAATACGATTTGTTATTTTTACGTATGTATCTGTGTGTGTGTGTGTCCCTGTGTATGTATATGCAGACATGTGCAAGTTCCAACAGAGACCAGGAAAGGGCATCAGACACCCCTGGAGTTGGAGTTACAGGTCGTTGTGAGCTGCTCAACAGTAGGTGCAGGGAACCAAACTCAGGTCCTTGGTGAGCATAGCAAGGGTCTTAACCATTGAACCATCTCTCTAGTCCCTTCAGTAAATGTTTTTCAGAATGATTTACTAAGTTTACTAAGCTGGAATTTGGGCCCAAACTACTAGATATATCTAAAAATCCAGTTCAGATATATAGAAAGCCCAGATGTGTCCCCTTATGGTTAGTCTAAACAAAACTAACGTAAGTCAAGCCCCATTCACTATGCTATACCATTCACCTATTCTCTGCCACTCAACCAGCCGTGACAGCATTAGGATCTGAATGAGCCCTCTTGGGCTTCCATGCTTCATTCTCAGACTGTTTAGAGGATTTAGGCCTTTGAGGTAGTCCCTAATGAGAAATTTGCCAGGAGGAACTTGTACAATATGTCTAATTGCAACCAACCAAATGTCTCCTACCATGTGAATTTGCCAGACAAGTGGTGAGTGGAACAGTGGAGCCCACAGTAGGTACAGTAATTTATCTATTGTTTATGCTTTTTTTTTTTTTTTTTTTTTTGGTTTTTCAAGACAGGGTTTCTCTGTGTTGCTTTGCGCCTTTCCTGGAACTCACTTGGTAGCCCAGGCTGGCCTCGAACTCACAGAGATCCGCCTGGCTCTGCCTCCCGAGTGCTGGGGTTAAAGGCGTGCGCCACCACCGCCCGGCAGTTTATGCTTTTTATTGAGCATTAGCCCACGGAGATCAGAAGAGACGTTGGGTCTCCTAGAACAGGAATTACAGACGGTTTGTGAGCTGCCAGGTGGATGCTAGGAACTGAACCCAGGCCCTCTGGAAGAGCAGTAAGTAAGCTCCTATGAGCTGAGCTATCTCCACAGCCTTGGTGAGTGTTAATTTGTTTCTAATTGTATCCAGTACGAAATACTTTGGCATATAAAAAAAAATGAAGTGGGATAACACATTGCAAATTCCAAGTTTTCGGCTCAAAATAGAAATTACATTCTATAATATAATTCAATGTGTAGGTCTCATCACTCAGTTCATGTGAAAAATTTAAACATATGTAATCCCTTTGATCCCAGTTCCTTGAAAAAGCTGTACAATTAACTTCCTTAGGTTTAATTTATACCTCCTCCACATCTGTTTAATATTTAAATCAAGGCTCAGGATTTTGATCCCTTGAATCTTTCTTCTTTTCTAAGGGAGACTAACACCCTTTCACAGGTTAAAAATTGGTCTTGACGTTAGGCTATCACTTTTGGATTACACTGATGCTTCTGGTCTGATTGAAAGAGTAACATGGCAGGTCACAGGCCAAGTTTGAGAACTCCATCTCTCAGTCCGGTTTACTTAACAAGACTTTAAAAAGGTGTACCAAGAAACTCCTTTCTCATTTGTGAGACAGAGGACAGTCCCATTTTGTGTACCAATCTCTTAGATTTTTTTTCAATAAATCTCTAAATCACTGGCTGAATTATTCAAAGAAGTTCACTGGGCCAATTTATTTTACTGTCTGGGACTGAGAGCTCCTGATGAAATGGGAACTAATATGCACATTCATGAAATAAGACCCATTTCAATTTGTGTATTGTATAACTTGAAACATTCTCCCATTATGATAATTTATAGTTGCCAGGTCTCTCCGGAGAAACAGAGCCTAAATGACTGATATAGAGAAGATATATAAATAGGTAGGTAGATAGACAGACAGGGGATTTATTAGAGGAACTGGTTCATGCAATTATGGAGGCTGTCCTGAAATATTTGATCTATAATCCAGACAATCAGGGAAGCTGGAAGTATGGCTCACTCTAAATCCAAAGGCCTCAGAATCTAACCTGAGAAGCTGGTGAGCAAAAGGATGTAAGTCCTACAATTCCAAGGACATAGACTGGAGTATAGCATCCTAGGGCAGGATAAAAGGGATGTTCCAGCTACAGGAAGCAGAGCTTTTCTTTCTTTCTTTCTTTCTTTCTTTCTTTCTTTCTTTCTTTCTTTCTTTCTTTCTTTCTTTCTTTCTTCCTTTCTTTCCTTTCTTTCTTTGGTTTTTTTCGAGACATGGTTTCTCTGTGTAGTTTTGGTGCTTGTCCTGGATCTCGCTCTGTAGACCAGGCTGGCCTTGAAATTACAGAGATCCGCCTGGCTCTGCCTCCCGAGTGCTGGGATTAAAGCCATGTGCCACCGCTGCCTGGCTCAGAGCATTTCTTTTTCCTTCACCTTTTTGTTCTGTTTTGACCCCCAGACAATTAGGCAGGGCTCACCCACATCATATGGAGGACCTCTTTTGTCGGCTAAGTTCAAGTATCACTGTCCTTGGGAAGCACTCTGACAGGCACACACAGAAATAACTCCTTTCCATCTAGTGGGTGTCTGTTAATTGAGTCAGGTGGATATGCAAGATCAGTCATCATACTAAGTGACTGACTCTAAGGACAAAATTGTTTACATTTCACAAGTACAGTATGTTTTAAATGATAGTCCTACTTTTTGTGCAGCAGGAGTTTCAACCATGTTTCTAGTGTGGGGGAAGGTTTCCTTTATTCTGATCTAGGGTTTGGTCTATTATTTTACTGAGAATTATTTATCAAACATTATTTGTTACCATACAGGTAGGAAATGGGTCAGGTGTTAAAAAAAAATCAAGGCCTAGTTTTTAGATCCATGTATCTTAGAATTCAGTTGGTGGACTGGCTGTGCTTAAATTAAGACTTTGTGTTTG